CTGCCTCCTCCTCCGCCTCGTCGGCAACGACGGAACACAAACGCCGGCGCTCCGGCTGCTCTGGCGCGCCGGACCACTCCGCCTCCTTCTACTACTCGTCGGCAGCAACGGAAGAGAGCCGCTGCCACTCCGGCGTCTAGCAGTACAACCAGAGGCGGGAGGCAATACAGATTCGGTCCATCTCTCAAGCCTGTAGAGAAGTTACCATACAAGATGACCGTGGAGGAAAACGCGAAGATTGTTCAAGCCCAAGTGAAGGACTTTTTTGAAACGCGAAGAGCTATGAAACATCCACCTCCGGAGGAGAAGATAGATCTGGTGAAAGCGAAGCGCACTATCAATGCCATGAAGCAACCAGCATCGTGTCCACCGGATAACAACCATCTCCGCTGTCTTAAAAAGACATTGCAGTAAGCGCGCCAGTCGGGAAGTACTTCAACTGACAAAAGGTTAAAAGACCGAAGAAGTGGGAAAAAAATTCCCCAGCTCAAAGAACAGGAGAACCAATCATTCCCCCCGCTCAAGGTGTCTAGCGATATCGTCGCAAATCAGCCGCTGCTGCCCGGTACCAATCCTGGTGATTACCTGCCCGACGATGTAGATTTTGATACAATGGAGGTGGACGAATTCAAATACCATTACAAGAAGCCTCTCGTCAAAGATGGAACTCTTGCTCTAACAATGATGATGCGAAGATTCCATGATTGGTACATGAAAACCTGCAGCGAGTCTGGGAAGGATGCTTTGTCGATGAGAATTAAAGAGGACCACGACTTCATTGGCCAAGAACTATTAACTATTGATTTTGACGAGTTTTTCCAGTTCTACAATCAAAAGGCCCTCGACAAATCACTTCTGGCTTGCTATTGTCTGTAAGTACTACTTTCTGTAATTAAGTCTCTCTATATACAGCTCAGCTCTTTCATTGCATGTATATATAATTATTCTCACTATATTATGCAGATTGAAGATCCTCGAATGCAGAAAAGCACAAATCTATGACATTGGGTTCATTAACCCAAATGTCATATATGAATGGACGGTTCAAAAGAATGTCACGGAAACCAAGGACCACTTGCTAAAATCGTTGCTCAAAAATCAAACCAAAGATAAAATATTCTTTCCTTACAACTTCAAGTGAGTGTTACTGTCTTGTGCATATTCTGTTTCCATTATTAATCGAGGTTATAGTCATGTAACTGATGAGTTGTGCATGCGTGCGTAGCTTCCACTTTATTCTCCTAGTGATTAAGCTTGAGAAGGGAGAAGTAACCGTCTTAGACTCGAGACGAAAAGATCTCGAGGACTATGCAGACATGACTCGAATACTCCAGAAGTAAGTTCAATCAATCATTATCGCACCATATCGGCAACTTTGTTCATTTCCTGATATCAAGTAATTATTTTCTTTGTCTGACAGGTTTTGGAAAGAGTTCACCGCAATTTCTCCAGGACTGCCGACCGAACTGACATTTAAACACCCGAAAGTAAGTACTGCTACCTAGTTCCGCGCATCTCCCATTGATTCTAGCTAGTTTCATCAATACCATTTAGCATGCTTGCTTATCAGTTTCATTGACCTCTATTTCTTGTAAAATGCTTGTGGCAGGAACAAGGAAATGATTTCTGTGGATACTACATTTGCGAGTTCATTTACAACGAGATGGCCAAGAATAAGCGGGGCTACTCTGAAAAACAATATCAAGTGCGTAAGCAAAAATATTCACAATTGTATTTTATTACCATCATTTGTGTTGAGTTTCATTCATACACATGTATTGACCCTCTTCTTCGATTTAGATCTGGCAGCTGCGGGATGAGCTCCTACCACATGATCGCATAAAAGCAATTCAAGAGGAAGGCGGGATTCTCTCTTGACCACGTCATCAATAAAGCCGGAGGATACCATGTGGAACTTGACTTCAGATATTAAGGATTATAACAGATCTTATATTGTATATATGTAGCTAGTAGCGTCGGATAGATATACGAAAACTTGTTGTTCGACCAATCTCTCGGAGAAGGAGAGGTCGATCACTTCTCTCTGTATATGTTCATGACGATCTTATGTACTTAATGATTTCCTTCATTTTCTTACTAGCTAGCGTGTCGAGTCCTCTATACGTATAGTACGTAGCGTCAACCAAGCACGGAGATAAGAGAGGTCACTTCTCTCTATTAGCTAGTAACACAATATATGAAACCCCTAATTAAATTAACCCTCCAAAACCCCCAACCCCCCCCCTAAAAAAACAAAAACCCGAGCTCCTGAGCCGCTGACGCTAGATGCCTTTTGGTCCCGGTTGGTGTTACCAACCGGGACCAAAGGCCCTCTTGCCGGGGCTAGCCGCAGCGGCCACGTGGAGCCCCACATGTCCCGGTTCGTGAGCAAACCGGGACTAAAGGTCATGGGCTTTAGTCCCGACCCTTTAGTCTCGGATCCAGAACCGGGACGAATGGGCCTCTGAAACCGGGACAAATTGGCCTTTTTCCACTAGTGTTAATTCAACATAAAATTCATAACAGAAGACTCTCTCCTGGTTTTCCTCCCCTAACCCTAGACGGCTATGGCAAATTGATTTGCCTCCCGTCTGCCTACCACTTCGGCAGTCGGTGGCTGGGAGGAGAATCTCGGTGCCTTCGCTCCTGTTAGTAGTTTAGCTTAGAGTTTTTAGTCCTTGCAGGTGCAGCGCTTGGATGGATGGCGTCACTTCTTCTTTGAGTTTTTCCTCTAGGCTCCGGTCCTCCTCGAGTTTATCCGTCTGGAGGTGGTCGACGGAGCTCCATCGTAGATTCTTGCCGTCCTTGGAGTTGCGAGGTTAGGATTTCTCGTCATGTGGTGAGATTTGGTGTCGGGTGCTTGTAATCTATGCAAGGGTTCCACGGCGACGACTACGACTCCAGGGTGCTGGTCCTTCATTAGGGGCACATGCACGAAGACTTTTCGACTGTCATCGACAAGGTCAAGCCGGCTCCGGTAGGGGAGTGACGACAGTGGCGTGTCGGTGACTCATTCTGGCGGCAATACCGGTCGTTCGGTGGACTTGGAATCTCCATGTAATTTTTATTATGCTTGGGATGCTTTGTACTTCTGATGAAATTTTATAATAGATATGATCTTTAAAAAAATCAAAATAGAAAGTGTGACAGCTCTGTGGTGGTCCGACATCCAGTCGGACATACACCTACTCGGCGACGTGTCTAGCCACTTGCACAATTCCGCCGATTTTGCTCATTTTCGACGTCTTGGCGTTGTTGTTGTTCCAAGGTACTCCCTCCGTCTGAAAATATTTGTCAGCAAAATAGATGTATTTAGATATATTTTAGTTTTAGATACATCCATTTTTATCCATTTATACGCTAAGTATTTTTGGACGGAGGGAGTATTTGAAAGTACGTGGATAAGTCTAGTTTATTCGGTAAACATCATTAATAATAGTGTCAAAATCCTATAGAAGTTCAACTTCATAACATACTAGGGTTCCTTCGTGGTGAACAAATTATATGTACATGGACTGGATTTTTTCTGTGTAAGTCAATTTTGACTGCGAAGGAAGAAGGAAGCACGAGTTGCGCTGTTGACGGTAAAGCCGAGCCGGGACCTCATCGAAGACAGGGACGACACTGAGAACGATAGTGAAAAAGGAGATTAACAGGTGCGGGGGCTGCCGACGCCAAAACAGGAGGTTGGGGAGAGGGGCATAGAGGG